GATTTATTAATATTTTATAAGTTATATTATATTAATATAAAATAATATTATTTAATTAGCATTGATCAAGTATTAATTTGGAATTAATTTTGTGGTTAAAAGAGACTAATTAAATATATAAGGATTGATTGTGTAAATCATATTTTCTTATAATGTGGGCTAATGATCCATGATTCCTTATGTTGGGCTTAACTCATGTGGTGACCCATGGATACTCTATGGAGGTTAAAAACCATTGATCATGAGAAATGTGGAAATTCATGCACATTATGGTTTACATGGTGTAACCCTAATGTAACCACACTATATAAGAAGCCTTTTGGTTCAAGAAATTGTCACCTAGAGCCCTTGCAAGAAGTGTGGCTGATTTTGTGAGCATAAGAGTTCTCTTCCAACTTTTCCAAATGTTATTGGTGATTGGTGAATCCACTTGAGGAATTCACTTTATTGATGCTAGGCTCTTAAAGCTCCAAGCAACAAGCTATAACTAAATATACGTTATCTAACCTGTTGTATTACCGATGTATCAAAATTTTGTATGCTACTTAAGGTAATACCTTAGAAAAGAAAGTTTGCATGTATAATAGAGAAAACATATATCCAAGGTACTTAAGGTTGTATGTACACCTTAGGAGTGTTAGAATGCTCAAAACTCATCAATTTTTTTTTCTATTTAGAATCCTATTTAATAAATACTAGGTTGTTAACATGGCCTCTCACTAGACTCTATTACTCAATCCCGAGTATGAAAACATTGAGTTTACCATTTCCTTTAAAACTCGAGTTTTATGTTCGACAATTCCATTTTGTGTTGGATAAGGTGTCTAAGTCGGCAACTATATTTGGTATGAACTTGACTCGACTCGACATGGTCCATTTGGGTTGAACTTCACCTAACAATTTGTATGGATATGCTTTTGAGAATAAGATGTTTATGTTCTATTAATATATTATAAGTTATAATATATTAATATGAAATCATATTATATTTAATTAGTTTTGATCAAGAATTGATTTTGGAATTAATTTAGTGATCAAAAGAGGCTAATTAAATATGGAATCTGACATATACATGGATTGGGCTAAGAATTATTTAGGATGGGCTAAGAGTATATGGAAGTCCATGGATAGTCCACGGAGCTTTTAACTCATGGATCCTAGGTAAATGAAGAGTCATGGGTATTAGGGTGTAACCCTAATCCTCCATAGTATGTAAAGAGGTCGTTGGTTCTAGAATTGGCACTAGTGTGTGTGAGAAACAAGGATGGGCCGATTTTAGCAAGCATCATATTCTCTTAAGTATTTCCAAGTTGTTTTGGGTGATTTGTAACACCACTTGAGGCATCCACACTATTAGTGCTAGGCTCTAAAACTCCATGCAATCAACCACAAAAGAAAGGTATGTTATTCTACTTAAAGTTTTATATTATAAGTACCCCATAACATGCTAGTTAGGTTGTAAACCTTTGAAATAAAATTTGCATGTATTTTAGAGAAAACATAGATCCAAAGTTTCTAGGGTTGCATGTACACCATAGGAGTGTTAGAATACTCAAACCCCAACATTATGTTGGGGCGAGTAATGTGTCATGGTCTTATGAATGATACCCACTTATTGGAAGTATTTGGGATCCATTATTCACCTCCCCTATCAATCATAAGACACTTAACTAGATTGCCCAATTGCAAATTTACCTCGATTTTGTATATTTTTAATTTATCTAAGGCTTCGTCCTTAGAATGTAATAAATACACATAAACAAACTGAGTGTTGTCATCAATGAAGGTAACTAAATAATTTTTATTTCCCAAGCAAGGAGTGGAGTGAAAATCACACAGGTCACTGTGTACAAGTTCCAAAATGGCCGAATTTCTAGTGGCACTAGAAAAGAGTTTTGACACTTTTGTCAACATGCATGTTTTACAATTATAAGGAGTCATGTAAAAGGTTGGAATTAATCCATCTTTTGACATCTCATGCATCCTTCTAAAGTTGACATGACCTAATCTAACATGTCAAAGCATAAATTTATCAATATTAGAAGTAGAAGATACAAATGTAGAATTTTTGAACAAGTAATAATTTGTCAATAATACTCAAACAAAACGTTATGTTATAAAATATCCAAAACCAATAACCATTCCATCTCAAGATAATATGAACTTATTCGACTCAATAACTTGTTTAAAAGCATCATAATTCAAACAACTAGAATTAACAAGATTCTTTCGAATCTTAGGAACAAACAAAACATCAAAAAGCTTAATAGTCTTTTTAGAAGTAAATTCAAGACACAAGACATCGACACCATAAATAGGTATAAAAGAATATTCTCCCATTCTTAACACTGATCAATCCTCAAGTGGTGTTAATGTTTCTAACAACTGTTTATCTTTGCATACATGATTCATTGCCCTGGAGTTGATCCACCAAGCAAAACCATCATCCTATACATAGAACAATTCAAGAATGAGTGAAACATAATAAACATAATTCTAATTAGAATTATCAAAGTTAGTCATAAAATAACCTCCTTTAAGTTGGCCTGGCGACCCGTTCATATTGTATTGTTCAGTGACAAACATTCAATCGACCATCTAAAAGTTATTAAAGTCACTAACCAGTAACTTCTTGCTAGAAGGGTCCTTAGTAATGTATTTCATTTCAAGGGTGTCCCACAAATCCTTAGCAGTTAAAGCATCACCATAGATATCAAACAAAAGCATCAAAAATATCGTTCAAGATCTAATATTTGCAGATGTAGTCGCCGTTGTCCTACTATTGTCTCTTCCTAGTCTCCTCAAGTGTCTCATCAACACCTTCCTGTAGTTCACATAGTATTGGAGTACTATGCACGTATATTGCCTTTAGAGTGGTCTGCATTAAGTGCATCTTCTTCTTCTAGCACCTAAAATCGGCGCCTTCAAACTTCTCCAGTTTTGCTATTGTGTAAACACTTTTGGAACTGATATTTCTAGAAATAGATAATATCCGTTCGATATTTAGAAATTAGACACCATGCAG